CCAGGCAGGTCTCGAACCCGCGGGCTCAGGCAATCCACTCACCTCAGCTTCCCAAAGGCGTGGGATTACAGGCTGAGCCACTGAGCCTGGCCGAGACAACTTTAAACCAAAATTATTTCATGTGCTATGTGTATGTGTGTAGAGGTGTAGGGTCATGGAGGTATATTTAAGTGTCAGTCTTACTAATTCAAAGCAGTATTCAGTTATTAATAGAACTGGAAGTGTTCCCTAAAAAGTCAGTTCATTTATCCTCCTTTATATGTGTCTCTGGCAAGGAGAAAACTAGAGAGATGAGAAGACAGAGGAGATAGAAAATGGAGGGACAGGGAGATAGAAATCACTGACATTATTTCTCATGGAGGTCATGTGCCCCAGTCCATGAATGAAACTAAGTTAGAATCAGCCAGTTGTTGCTGCCTAAATTTTCTGAAGGTGATTGAAAATTAAAAGCACTATTCAAATAGTTAGGCAAAGAAGTAGAGAGGGCTTCCTCTGTACCCTCAAGAAAAAAGTGAAAGAATTAACTGAGAGCCACAGAAAAATGTAAATGAAAGCAGAGTGAAACGAACTGAAAAAGCCACCTACTATCTGGGTGATATTCACGAAAACCAGTACTGGGTGCTCTATTGTTGAATTGAGTATGTTTCCTTCAGGAAATATTTTCACTCTATGCACGCCCTTATCATCTATTTTCACATAAAATGTTATCTCACTGGATGTTTTACCTTTTAAATAGCCATGGATATGAAAAAAAGAGAGCATGATAAAAATCTTTGTTATAGTATTCATTTTTATTGAGAAAAATTATGAATGATAATCAAAAAGTCATTAGAACACTTAGAGATTTTGCTTGTGAACTTTTTAGTTTTGTCCTTATCAGTTGGACTTGATAGTTTATGTAAAGAAAGAAAGAAAGAAAATTAATGATTGGCAAGAGCAATGCCATTTGCTTTAGGTAAAGTCACACTTCACATTTCTTAAGCTCTAACATCATGCTTCTCAGTGGGATCTGGGTGTTGGAAAAATTTTCACAATTCATTGCTTAATTTCTTCCCATTTTGGTATTGTCAAAACCTTCAAGTTAAATATGGCCAGAAACATACCTATAGTTGAACAAGCTTGATGGTAACTTATCTCAGAAGTGAGAATACACCATGGAAACCCACGTCTCAGTAAAAGGTTCTTAGAAAGAATTTATTATAGGATATGGGCTTGGCTGAGTGATTTGGGAAAGGTTCAAAGAACCTAGATTGTCAGAAAGCAGAAGTAATTCAATAATAAAGTAATTCTGTAGTAAGATATTTCAGTTAAGTCTTCCCAGCTTCAGGAAGTCTAGTACGAGAATAAATTTACAAATAGTAAAGTCTCTCATGTAAGCCAAGAAAGGAGGCGTTTGGTACTTTCTTGATGACATAGTAACCTTGTGTTCTGTGCTTAGACAAAATTATGAAGTGACCTTGTCTGGTCTCATTTTACCATGTTCAGAGTAATCTCCTCTGAGATTTGAATTGCATGACTGTGTTTATGTGTAATGGGAGAATATGAGTGCCAGGCTGACTTCTGAACGTCAAGGACAGCTTGTTTTTCCGTTCTTCATATCTACCCCCTGCCTCTCTCCAGAAAAAACTAAAGTGATTATTAATTTTAATGACATATTTCCAATTTGTATTAAAAAGCATTTTAATTATACACAAAAAGTAAAGATATAATAAATAATACATATCCATCAAGCAGCTTACAAAATAAATAATTATAGATCCAGTCATTTGAGCAAGTCTCTCAAGTTGTAATCCCTCCTAGGAAAGAACTATTAACCTGAATTTGATGTTTATCATCCTCAAAAGTGATGAATTTCCTTCCCTTTAAAAAAAAATAGATACATTTTGTGAGTGTGTGTGTTCTCCTTCCTTTCTAGGAATCATGTAAGATCTAACTTTAGTTTTTTATTTTATTTATTTAATTGGCATGTAATAATTGTACATACATAAAGTGTATAATGATCAGATCAGGATAATTAGCATATCTATCATCTCACACATTGATCATTTCTTTGTGTTGGGAACATTCAGTCTCCTTCTAGCTATATGGAATGATGAAATATATTATTTTTAGCAATAGTCATCTTGCAGGGCTCCAGAACGCTAGAACTTATTTCTCCTATCTAGCTATAATGTTGTATTCTTTAAAAGTTACCCACTATCCTCACCACCATTACCAACTTCTAGTACCCTTTATTCTACTTTTACTTCTATGAGCTCAACTATTTTAGTGTCTGCATGAGAAAGAACATGCAGTGTTTAACTTTCTGTTCTTGGCTTATTTCACTTCACATAATGTCCTCCAATTCTATCCATGTTACTGCAATTGATAGGATTTCAATTTTTATGACTGAATCATGTTCCATTGTGTGTATAGACCAACTTTTCTTTATCCATTCATCTTCTGTTGGACACCAAGGTTGACTTCATATATTGGCTTTGTGGTGAATAGTGCTGTAATAAACATGGAGCTGTAGGTTCTCTTCAATTTACTGATTTCCTTTCCTTTGGCTAAATGCCCAGTAGTGAGACTGCTGAATCATATGGTAGTTCTGTTTGTAGTTTTTTTTTTTTTCCCCAAGAACCTCCATACTGGCTATAGTGGTTTATGTTCCAAGCAACAGTTTATAAGAGTTATCATTTCTCATTGCCTTTGCTAGCATGATCCTTGCTAGCAATATCTTTGTTATTTTTTGTCTTTTTTGACTGGTAGTCATCCTAACTAGAATAAGATGATTATTTCATTATGGTTTGGCATTGCATTTCCCTCCTGATTAATGACGCTGATCTTTTTTCCATATATTTGGTGGCCATTATGTCTTTTTAAAAGGAACTCAAAATCTCAACAGTAAAAAAAAAAAAGTGATTAGAAAATGGATGAAAGATTGAATTTTAATACATACTTATAACCATTTTTTTATGTTGCTGTTGTTTTAAATAGGAGTTTAAGCATCAAACTATGTGAAGAATTATGTGAAACCCTGTACTTCACACAAGGTCATAGGACATACTTTTATAAGTACTATTAAGCATTATAAATGAATTTTAATCACAGTGTCAAGTATTTTGTTCATTTGTTTTTCAATGTCCTACAATGACTTTGACCACAGGGCCAATTTGTTGGTTTTATTTAGCAAGATGTTGGGTGCATTTTTATTCTTCCCTCCACAGGCTCTGATAAAGATTTGTGATACTAACAAAGCTGCATCAATTGGAAACTCACATTTTATGCAATAACAGACCATTTTAATTTCATAAGGCAAAGGATTGGCTTCTACTTGGAAATAGCACTAAAGAAAGCAATATTGTCAAAAGAAGTAGCCTGGTATATCAAGAGAAACATCTGTTGATTAAATACAAGACTTTCATTCTCTTTCTTCTAGATTTCCATATAACACAAGCATTAATTAGACCCATCAGTGATTTTCTCCTTTCAGGACAATGTTTTCTGTCTGACAAGAAATGTCAACTAAGAGAATGTGTGTTGTACAAGATCTGCCATTAAAAACACTGACTTTAGCCTAGAGAAAAGCTGATGCATTCCCAGAGACAGAACTGCAGAGATGGTTGCCATATTTTCCTGTTTTTGCTGTCTAGCAGACTATGATGATGGGACTCAATGTCTTTTGCCTCATTCGAAGTTTCCAAAGACAAGCACACTTAATAACTGTATTCCATCTCTTCCCACCTGGTGTTCACTTGGTGCATTTCAAATAAAAGCAGGAAAAATGTCACGGTCTTTTGAGGCTTTCAATGTACCTTTACTTACGTCATGGGGAATAGAAACAATATAGCAGGTTCAACTTAAGTCCACCCAGTATTTGGAATGTCAAGTTTACTGGTATGCTGAGGTTCAGATATGCTTCATTGGGATGGTATATGGAACATGATTTGAGTGATGTGTTAGAGAAGCAAAATCTCTAAAATCTACTGAAAGTCCTTAGAATATGCCATAGTGAGATTTAACTTCTCTTTGCAGGGGAGCACCTAAGAATCTGTCCTCAGGAATATACATGCTGCACCACAGAAATGGAAGACAAGTTAAGCCAACAAAGCAAACTGGAGTTTGAAAACCTTGTAGAAGAGACAAGTCATTTTGTGCGCACCACTTTTGTGTCCAGACACAAGAAATTTGACGGTATGTGAAATCATTTTCATTTCACTTTGTTATAGTGGCACTTTCTATTAGAATCTTGGTGTGATAGGAAAAACTTTTTTTTTTTTTTGAGTTAGAGTCTCAGTCTGTCACCCAGACTGGAGTGCAGTGGCCGCTCCCGGCCACCGCAGCCTCGACCTGCTGGGCTCCAGCGATCCTTTCGCCTCAGCCTTCCAAGTAGCCGGAATTACAGGTGCGCGTTACCACGCCTGGCTAATTTTTGGATTTATGGTAGAGATGAGGTCTCGCCTGCCCAGGCGGGTCTCGAACCTGCAGGCTCAGGCAATCCACTCACCTCAGTCTCCCATAAGGCAAATCCTTTGCCTTATGAAGTTTTTGAGTCACCGAGCCCAGCTGAAAAACTTTTTTTTTAAGATGGAGCTTTTCTTTCCCTCTTAAACATTTATAGTATTGTCTATTTTTAGAAAAAGCATGCACATTCTTGACAGTTTGTTATTTTTGTAGTAATATCTTGAAAAAACCTGAGTAGACAAAGAGCTGTTTTGCCTTTGTGCTTTGCTGTGAGATTTATTCTAGAGATTTAGCTGAATTTTTCATTATGACAGTGATGCTAATTCATCTTTTGTTGCACTGTAACTCGTCTTCAGTGTTCATATGGGGATATTCTTTTAAGAAAGTAACTGTCATTTAAGATTATCTGAAATATCACATCCTATCAGAGTTACAGTCTTGTTTTAAGTGCCTATGGCATGGATTTCTTTAATTTAGAGTTTGCCATTGCAATAACATGGTACATTTTACACCGTGGTTGTGCATTCTGCATATGGTTTAGACCTTCTGTTGATATCTTGATGATAAGCAATCAACCTCATTTCTATATGCCATATATTAAATAAGCACTTTTGTATTAGGAAGCCTAAACTGCAATAGTAATTGCTATTAGGATTCAACACTAAAGTTTTTCATCAGAATCTCAGAAAAATATTCAAAACCAATCTGATTATTTAAAACCAATCATAATTACAGTAAAGTCAGTATTTTTCATGATGTGTTACCTTCAGTGCTCTAAGACAGGGGTCCCCCACCCCCTGAATGGTACCCATTTTTGGCCTGTTAGGAACCAGACCATATAGCAGGTGAGTAGCAGACGTTCGGCCCTCCCCTCCTATTGGATCAGTGGTGGCATTAGACTCTCCTAGGAGCAGAACCCTATTGTGAATTGTGCATGCAAGGAAGCTAGGTTGTGGACTTCTTATGAGAATCTAATGCCAGATGGTCCCACCCCCTTCCCACTCCAATCAGTGGAAAAATTGTCTTCCATGAAACCAGTCCATGATGGGTCTGGTTGGGGACCACTGCTCTAAGAGATGAATGTACCTTACTGTGATTTCTTGTAAACCAGACTTGCAAATTAAAGTGAACCTTCTTTGCGCCCCACTGGACCTATGAATTTACCCTAGAGCAACAGAGCTGCTATTCATTTTCTTCACTCAATTCAGTCAATACACAGCAGAGTTGGTTTAGAAAAGACTCACAGAAGTTTTTATTTTTCTGGGTTTTGTTTTTTTTGTTTTTTGTTTTTTCTGTATAGCAGGTAAAGTGTTCCATTTCTTTGCTGCTTTAAGCTGCTATAGCAACACGGATTTCTTTCAAATCAGTTCTTCCCAAGTTATAGGAGACAGGTCCACCCGGTGTTTTCAGTACTCAAGATGATGTGGCATTTTCCACGAAAGTGATGGGGGCTTCATCTTTTCTGCAAGTATGTTTGGATATTTTCACATTCTGTCTCTGCCTCTCCCTTGTGTATAATTTTATGTGTGGACATATCCAAAAAAATATCTCTTATTTAGCAGTGATGTCATGAATGTGGTTACCTTAAATACAACTACGGAGTACTTGGATATTGGTCTTGATTGACAGATTACAAATCCAGTGACATTCAGGAGCCCCTGAAGGGACTCTGCGGTTGGGGGACTACAATCCATCACTTCAAACTCAGGCAAATTGAGACGTCTTGTCATTTGTTACATAAAGCAGGTAAAGCAGGTAAAAGGTAATCTGTTACTGCTGGTTTTGACCTATGTCTTTGGAAAACAATGTTGGTGCCTTTATAAAGCAGTGCTCCAAAGTGATGTTGAAATCAATCTAGGGAATTCTGCATGGTAGATCATATATATTACTTTAAAAATATATATCAACTGTTAAGATACTTTATGGGGAGTTAATTTTTTTTAAAGTCATTCAACAAGACTTAGTCAGATATTTCTTATATTATTAAATCAATCAATTTAAATTTCTTTGGATCTACAGTTCCAAAATCCCAGATCTCATGTGTCTTATTAAAGCAAACATACACTCATTTTCTCTCTTTCTACAGGTATATTTTAAATTGTTCTAATATACTTAGGGGTATGATGTCAAATCAGGTTGACAGGACATTGATTTTACTAAGATTAGATCTGACATAGGGAGTGATAAATTCTTTAGTAACAGTGCATTTCACTGCTGTTGCATTAGGTTGAGATGAGAGAGAAATTAAGATTTTTTTTTTCAAGGAATCTTTCAGTCAGACTTTAAATAAACGTTGATCCCAGTGAGTTCAACTCCTGAATCACTCAGTCTAACATTAATAATAATAATGTAACTATTAAAAAGTCCCTGTCAGCCGGGATTGGTGGTTCAACCTGTAATCCCCTGCCTTTGGGAGGCTGAGGTGAGTGGATTGCCTGAGCCCGTGGGTTTGAGACCCACCTGGGCAGTAAGACCTCATCTCTACAATAAATCAAAAAATCAGTCTGGCGTGGTAGCGCATGCCTGTAATTCCAGCTACTTGGAAGGCTGAGGCGGAAGGATTGCTGGAGCCCAGCAGGTCGAGGCTGCGGTGACCGGGAGCGGCCACTGCACTCCAGTCTGGGCAACAGAGTGAGACTCCAACTCAAAAAAAAAAAAGTTCCTGTCATAATCGTTGCTTTCTCTTTGAACAGCTTTATGAAGTTTAGTTATGCAATCACATGACAGTTTATTACACCTTGAAGGCAATCCTGCTAAGTCACCTTTCACAGTTGATTGTGCATTCGTGTGGGTAGTTTTCCATTTTTTTCCCCTGTTTTTTTTTTTTAACTTTAACACTTCCTCATGGCATTTATTGATGAGTAACAGTTGATGTGAGCACACACAAAAAAACTATCTGGATCAGTTATGGAAAGTTACTCTCTGAGTTTTATTTTCCGACATAAAACCAATGGTGTTGCAGAGGACTTTGAGTTTATTTCAAGTAACTTCCTATTTGGTAAGTGGTTTTGCATTATTGTTGGAGTCTCTAATCCATGGTGTCCATTTTTGAGGTTCTGTCTCTGTTCCCACTTTCCCAGAAGGTTTGATTTGTCATTTGCCTGTCTTTGTTGGCTATATGTACTTTGCTATATGAAAACCACTGTTTGATTAAAATCCAAAGGTGATGGCCTTCTTTCCTAATTGTATTAAGTACAGCTACAAGTTAAATTGCACATCTGATACATGTGATTCAGTCCAAAATATATTCAGAGAGGACGAATTCTATTACTGTTAATAATTAGCCACTAATTGTCACTTTTCTGATTATATGGATTTTCTTATTATTATAGAAATGTTTTTATTCTATTTGACTTTTTATTATATGGCAGCAGTGACAAAATTTGAGAGTTCAATGCACTTAACTTAAAACCACAATCTATTTTGTATTAATATTTTTGGTATTATTTAAAAGAAACAGGGCAACCCCTTCAGGTCCACTTCCACTGTGGGAACTTTTCTGTCCTCTCAATAAATCCTGCTCTTTCACTTTCCAGCTGCCCATGCCCCTCATTCATCCTGGGCATGAGACAAAAACCAAAAAATAAAAATAAATAAATAAATAAATGAAACCGTGTGTCAAATTGTAAATACTCGTTGGATGGTGGGAAGTTAAATCTGAATTATTATGAGTTCTTCTCCAACTTTACTAAATTGCTTATCTCCAGACCTAGTCTAGCATTTGTAGCTGAAAGGCAATACATTTTTAAAATATATTATATCAATAATAGAAATTTAACTATTGGACAGAGTATTTTCTTATAGCTAGATAGCTTTTTCTTTTCCTTTTAAAATATAGAATTAAAATGTTATGATAGGTATCTATACAAGAGAGGTTTAGACTCTTGACAATGGTACTTCTCCAAGGGTCTGACAAGGTTTTTGCTTATTGGATGTTTTTTCCCTCCTTTCTCTGGCCAAATCTTCATATCTAGATCTCATTATACATACTGGAAGCCCTCACTCTTTTGGCTGGGTCCTGTCCATTGTAAAAGTCCCCTCAGAACTATCCAGGGGTGCTCTCAGTATGCTCTGTAGCCAAGCATAGCTTTTCTGTTCCCCCCACCTCATGAGGGGTTAAATTGTGGAAGTGGAGCCAAGCACACCCAGAATGATTGCAACTTTACTCCCTTCCTTCTTACCTTCCTCACCTCTGCCAGTGCTCCAGGCAGCCAGAAGTACACAAACAAACACAATCACATAAAAATGACAACAAACGGAAGGTCATCTTTGTGCACTCACTTGTTTTCCTAGCATTTTTGTAGGATTTGTGTTTAGTGACCGTCCAACCTGTTGAATTGACATTTGTATCTAAGTCTCCTTTGTTATTGTGCCACCAAGTAGCTCGTGTGTTAGGATTCTGGAAAATGGAAAACAACCAAATATTCACATAGACGTAGAGTGATCATTGGCAGCACTTGTCCTTGTCCCCTGCCCTTCACAGAGTAACCTAAATAGTAAGTGGCAGATTGAGGATTATGTCCCAGGTTGAGCACACCTGGATCCCTGCTCTCAGCCACTTCTACCCTGTAATCTCTTCAGTGCCTCCATTTCCCAGGTAGCTATCCTCCCATGGTCCACATACTATCAATTTCTCTGTCGTTCTCTGCCTGTCATTTTCCAGTTATTGTGGAGAGGACATAGAGGTGACTATCAGAAAAGTAGAAGGACATATTTTAAATCTTTAAAAT